TGATTTTCTCTCCTAAGTTGCCTTTATAATGAACAGCACGAAAAGTGACTTTGGAAGAGAAAGCGAATGCAGCCTGGGATGGATCGAGCAGTTACTATGTGCCAGGCTTGAGCTCAGCCCCTTGCATATGTGATCTCATTCACTCCTGGCAATAATCCTGTGATTGTGAGTCTGTTCCCATTTAACAGATGTTGAACTGAAGGCCAGAAATATTAAGACAGCCATTTTGAGTCTGTCACACTCTGAAGCCCAGTTTCGTTGGTGTTATGTGGCTTCCAAAGGTAATACCAGCTTCTTGTTCCAAAAGACTGAGTTGCAGGCAGGAAGTGTGTCTGGTGGGAATGCTGGCGATCTGAGCAGCCAGGAAGAATCAGCAGGTGGAGACAGCACTTGGGTGGTGGTGGGAGCAACCAGGCTTGAGTGACACCGTCAGTACTTGAATGAAAACAGGAAGATGGCACGAAATGACTCCCACAACTGCAACAGTCACCACATTTCGCATGTGCCTCTAACCAAGTGGGCAAGGAGGAAGGGGAACCGAAAGTGGGGAAAGGCAAGTGTTCTCATTAGAAAATCAAGTCCGATGTTTCCCTTCTTCCAGTGGACCTCTACCTTTCTCCTCGCCCTCTTCATTGTCTTTAGACACATCCCTGACTCTGTAGCCTGCTGATACAGCTCACTGTGTTCATGAAATACTGTGTGGCCACTGACCATGTGAGCCCCAGGAAAATGAAACAAGATTATTCTGTTTCAGAACTTTGGTCAGTAGCTATGAAACAGTCCATGCTGACCTAAGGTGCAAATACTTTTTTTGTCCTGTAATAAAAAGAGGATTTTATTTTTTGGACATATGTCTCATGAATTGTTCTCTGCAGATTTTTTCTTTTTAGTAGGTAGTGGAAAGTTCATTCGGGCACTTTTACTGCCTGGTGCTTAATGGGTGGAAGCCATAATGGGGAGCCAGAATTCTCAGTGAGTAACCAAATTCAGAATCAACCCACTCTTTGGGCCCATAAAATGAGCCCATTTAGATGAATCTCATGAATTTTCATCATGAATGAACAAACACCCGGGGCAATAGGAAATCAGAATAATAATCATTATCCCTTCTCATGGTCCATATCAAAGAGCCTAGTCAAGTGAATTATGAAGAGAGAAATTATACTTTTCAATCCTCAGTGCTTTCTTTTGTCCATGAATATATTAATTCAAAGCACTTGTAAAAAGCATTTTCATGGGGAAGATTTGAAGCAAGACAAAGTAGGGACATATTGGAGGCATAAACAGAATCAAATCTAGTTGTTATGGGATGTTAGAGATAATGTAAGTGTTGCCTAGTTACACAAGACAAATTTTATTGACCACTCTTCTAGGTAAGAAACATGATTGGCATGTAAGGCAACATGCCTGTGTTCTGTGGACAGAAACCAGAATCACTTACTAAAATACACATGGCTCAGCCCCATCGCTGGAGGTTTCTGATTCAGGGTTTCTAGGTCAGCCTGAGAATTGGTGTCTCTAGCAAGTTCTCAGTGATGCTGTCCCTGGTCACACCACCAGGCCCTCTCCTCACCACCCCTGCAGGCGACTGCTCCCAGGTCTACTTGGATGTACTGAGATGCAGTGTGAAAGCTGCCAGTGCCAGCAGAACCTGTCTTAGAGTTTAGCAAAACTGCACTGACAAGTGCTTCCCAGTAACTCTACCCTGGTCCTGATTCTGCCAGCTGGAATTATTTGGAATACACCTAATCCCCATATAAATGCCTCTGCAAACACACTTATCCCAAGGGAAAGTGCAGCTGGGGGTCCGTTGGGCAAATTAGACTTTTATGACACAGAAGTGCCAGAGATCTCCTGTCCGATTTATTCTCCTGTCCAACTCCCAAGTTTAATTTTTTTAAAAAATGGAATAGTAAAATAAAATTGTTCAAACTTTATGTGTGCAACTTGATAAATATTTGCCTATATTTACACCCATACAACTACCTTCCGTATCAAGACACAGGACATCCCAAAATGTTCCATCATGTGTTTGTTTGTAAGTGTGTGTGTGCCTTTACGCTAAGCTGCATCTCTAAAGCTGTATCATCTTTACATTAAGCCTCTAAAAAACAATTTTTTAAAATTTTAAGACAAGGTCTCACTAAGTTGCTAAGTCACCCAGGCCGAGCTTGACTTTGAGATCCTCCTGCTTCAGCCTCAGAGTGCTGGGATTGCAGGTGTGAGTCACTATGTCCAGCTCCATTGTATTCGTTCCCAGTCAGCACTCACCTCACAAAGGAACTATTGCTTCACTTCAGTTGTGGATACAAAGTGCTTGCTAAATCTGATGTAAATGGAAGTAGAGAATATACTCTTGTATCTCATGTTTTTACTCCAAATGATTACGAGATTCAACTGTGTTGGGAGTAGCAGTGATAATGCTTTCACTTTCATTGTCATGTGTTACCCTAACTTAAACATATTTTATAGTCTTATGTTAGATTCCTTCTTCCATTTTGTATATGTTCACGGTAGGCAACAATATTAGCCAGCATAGGTGCTTACTGTGGAACAGCATGGTGCTAAGTACTTCAGCACTTAATCTTTTCAGTACGATTTGCACTTTACAGGTGAGAAATCCAAGGCTTAGTAACTTGCCCTCGGTCTCATAGCAGAGTAGAGGTAGAATCAGTGTGTAAAGTCAGGTCTTTATGACTCATGATCCTGCGGTCTCAGCTAATGTAGGTGGATCCTCTCGTTCCTGGTGCTTTCCTGATAACTGCTAGTGTGAGATGATCCTAGAGAAATAGTTTCCTGTTTACAAGGACCTTTCCATTGTCAGCCCCGTTTCCCTCCTCTTGTTTGATGGTTCTGAGGCTTTCTCAGTGCTCTGGTGAAATAAATGGCGACAAGGTCAGTGTTCCATCTCAGCGCTCCCAACTCTTTCAGGTGGGAGGTTGGAGGCATGTTACCTTTATATAGTAGTTTTTCTACAAAAATAAAATCTTCAGTTTGCAAGCTCTCTGCTCACTCCCCAAATTCCTGCCTTTATTAATTACAAGTAGAAGAGGAATCCGTTTAGTCCCATGGTTTCTATTAAGGTTACACCTAAATTGTCTCTGAAAAATAACTGTTCTGTTGAAAATATTTCAACTTCCTTTAATTTTAGTGCCAAATAAACCTTTGGAAGAAAAAGTTTATACTTAAATATAAATTACTTGGTTCACTAATGCCTCATTTCTTTTTTATTCTACTAATTAGAGATTACTGGGCAGCCAATTCATACTATCAATTTGAAAAGACTTAAGAGAATCAAATGCTCTGTAGTCGTTTTAAGCATGGCTTTGATTCAGTAGCTGGATAAAAGCCTCTACATATGCTTAGGATTAAGAATATTTACTTTTATTTTCATTTTTTATGGTGCGTGCAGGCCAAATAATTGGGATTTTTATTGCCAAGTAGATAGACTGGTGTTGTTTGGACTTACAAAGGTGGGTAGTCTACTAAATCTCAATCTTCTAATAGGAAATGAAGTTAGGGCTTTAAAAATTGGGTATTTTGCTTGATCTAACATTATACTAGCTTTATTGTAAATCACATAAAATCCATTTATCTGATAATATTTCTATAATTGTAGTTTATATGTTAAAGGTTCATTTGGGGATGGCCTGGGGAATTTTTCTTTCCTTAAAGAGCCGTAAGCTTTATGAACAAGCAGTTTGTTAAACCAACCAAATAACTGAGGAAGGAAAGGTTTTCTTTATAGGATAATTCCAAAAGGAAGGAATGATAAAATTTGAAGTCATCATCTTGCAATTTTAATGAAATGGAGGACCTAGTATTCATTAAAAATGGATTAAATTATTAAGTGAAAAATCAACTTTGTAGTGGGAGGGGATCAGGCCAAGAACACTTGTGCTCTATCACATTTGCATCATTAAAGGTAGACAATCAGATGTTATGCACTTTCTAATGGTACAAAAGGAAGTATTAAAAACATCTTCAATGAGATGTCTATGAAGATTTATCACTAATGAAGTAATTCAGTAGCATTGGACTTAACCTAACCAGGTTTCTACCTCTGACTTCCAGAGCAACAGTAAATACAGGGAATTGAGCTGTAATTCTCAACTTTAACTATATATTACAACCCATATGGAGAATTTCTCAAAGTCCTAATGCCCTGGCTATATTTCAGATCACTTAAAGTGAGAATCTCTGGGTCTGAGGATTGGTATTTTTTAATAGCTTCCCCTAATATTAAAATGCCAGCCAAGCTTGAAAATCACCAGAAGCAAAGACCAAGTTACAGGACACAACCTTTATGCAGTGTGTCAGAAATCTCATAGAACTAAATAGTGTTTGCTACCAGCACTAGAAAAGTGTAGAGGGAAGGGACGCTTATGGATGAAAAGAGGCTTGAGAAACATAAAGCCAATGTGATGTGAAAACTTTGTTTTGATTCTGATTCAGACTAATCATCCATGCTGTGACAGTTGTTAGAGAATCAGAGAAATTTAAGTAAACTCTGATTATTAGATGATAGTAAGGTTTGCACATTAATCTTGTTACTTATGCTAATGGTTCTCTAGTTAAGACACAAAAAGTACTTATAGATAGCGATACAATATGAGGTATTTATGGATGGAATATGGTGTCTGAGATCTGTTTTAAAATACTCTATGAAAAAGCTAGTGATTTCAGAATAGGTACAAATGATTAGCAAAATGTAAAACTATTGAAGATGATTAATGGGTACATTCAAGGTGAAGGTTCATTTTGCTATTCTGTGTGTTTTAAAGATTTTCATGAGAAGAAGATTTAAAAAGAACCATAGGGTTAATTAGACAATAATGTATCTCTTTTACTGTGATACATTAACAGTACAAAGTCTCAGAAGATCATATGAACTAAAAGCATGCAATAAGATGAAATTTCACTTTTTGGGTCTATGCAAAAAATTGTTTTAAATAAAAATATAGGTTCAGTTATTAATTATATTTATGTCTTCTTTGCAGATGATCCTGGGCCTCCTCCTTCTACTGTTATCAACCAAAATGAAACTTTTGCCAAAGTGGGTTTTAAACCTACTGTGGTACAACAAGCCAAGATTGCCCAGAATGGAATTTTGGGAGATTTTATCATTCGATACGATGTTAATAGGGAGCAGAGAATTGGAGACATCCAGGTAACAGGGTCTGTGTTACTATTTTAAGGTTTGATATTTTTCTTTAGACTCAGAACTATTGATTCCAATACTTACCTAAAAGCAAAAGATCTTTCCCATTCTTAGTAAATGTTTTGACCCAAAATATGTCTTCAAAGAGACCAGTGATACTCTTGCTGGAAGTTGAGAATACCTATTTCCTGCTTCATTAATCTTCACAGCAAATGAAACCTATAATATAATTTTTCCCTGTAGTGTTTTAGATGAGGTTAGAATTTTGGTTGATCTTCTCTTTTAATTAAAAGAAACTGTTCCATAGCTTATTTCCTTTTAGGTTTTATTGCTCTAGAGACAGGGTAAGAATTTTAATACGTATGAATGTTCATCTAGAATATAGACAGCTTCAGTGTCTCAGTGGGTAAGATGTTTGGGAAAAACAACATTGCAAGAAGTGGAGCTGTCAAGTAGAAAGGTCAGAGGAGATGAAAAACTAAAGTTGAATTGATTATTATGATCAGTAGTTTTTTTTAAGTGCTGAGAAATCCAACCCAGGGCCTTACACATGTTAAGCAAACTACCACTGGGCTATACCTTTGGTCCATAGTAAATAGAGGTTAGAATTATGATCTTCTCCCTGTGAAGTAATTAGTTGTCTTAGGGGGTCAGGACCATAGATAATGTAACTCTAGACTATTTCATGCTGTCATTGAATTCTAAAATTTCCTAGGTAATTTTCCTTCATTTTTACTTGATTTTTCCTCTACCAGGTTCTAAATGGCTATTTTGTACACTACTTTGCTCCTAAGGACCTTCCTCCTTTACCCAAGAATGTGGTCTTTGTGTTTGACACCAGTGCCTCTATGGTGGGAACCAAGCTCCAGCAGGTGAGTGCGTGCCAGCTGCCCAGTATTTCTCCCCTCAGTCTTGCCAGGAACAGTGGTCAGCCTTGTGAATAAAGTTCACTTGATGCCAGATTCCCACTTACCTGGCTATTCTTCCCAACAAAGACCATTCTTAAACTGATGCATTAATGTCAATGATATAAACTGTTGTTTTAGTATGGTGGTTTTAAGAGAACAGAGGAACAGGGTACAGAAATGCTTTGACTTTCAGGGCACTGGCAGAGTGGATAAAGTGAGGGAGACAGGAGGAATACGGTGACCATTTAGTGCCACTGTTGTTGGAATAGTTCTGTTCAGTGGTGATTCAGAACACTGGAATATCCTTAGACACTTGATCTTAGTCAAAAGGCCAAGAAGTGATTGGTATATCCTTAGAATAAAGGATTCCCACAAAATTTACAATAAATCTCAAATGTACAGGGTTGGAAGGGACATTAAAGGGACATACAATCTGGCTGAAAAATTAAATTATCCTGAAGATACAACTATTTACATTTTGTACAAACCATTTTCTTTAGGTAATTCCTTATCTTACTCTGGCATCATGAATAGCGGAATTTAGAATTTGTAATATATTTCCAACTCACATAATGTCCTAGGTTTTATATCACTGGACCCAAAATCCAACACCTGCAACTTAATGGAGGAGAAGCTTATTTTGGCTCATAGTTTCAGTCCATGGTTGCCTCGCTGTATGACACAAAAAGGATGGGAGGGGGCATGGTAGAAGAAAAGGTGCTCATGCCATGGCAGTAGGAAGTAGGGAGAAAAAGGAGGAGCCAGGCACAAGAATATACTCTTCCAGGCCACGCCCCCAGTGACACGTCCAACCAGGCTCCTCTTCCTAAGAGCATGACAGCTTTAATGCTCCCATGACCCAATCAGCTTCCAAACCCACGAGACAGGTGGGGGATATTTTAGTTCTAAATCCTAAAACATGGCATAAATTGAGGGCTATTGTTGCCAGATGATTAATATATATAAATTCATCAACAACAGAGGTCTATCAGCTTTTATTTCTAAATCCATTATCTATTTTTTCAATTAGTAATGCATGCATAGAATAAGATGCTATCTCAAAGCTCATGAGAATCCTCTCTGTCACCTGTTTCTACCTGTAAGGTCCCACCCCACATGGGGATAAATTTTGTTCTGGTTAATAATTATTGCTCTTTACTTCAATCTTTTACTTTATAAATGATTTCTTTGATCATCTATACTTCTAAAATTGTGCAGTAAATTCTGTCAGTCTTCTGGTGTTTCATTTGCCTTTACCCCCAAATAGCAAAAATATATGTTCAAAAGTGTGATGTGAGGACTACTTTTTCTTTCAGAATTTATCTAAATATAATTTCTAATTAATATAGGCTGACGACAACCTCACCCTCTAAGACATCTCTTTATAGCTCTTCAACATCACATTTTTGTCTAAGTTCAATTCGCCAATTCCTCCATTTTTATTGCTCTTCTTTCCATCCTACATGTCTGACTTTCTGTTTAGGTTCATTCTTTTGGAGGAAAAGCATTATTAAAAATCTTTTAAATTATAGGTGCATTGTAAGGTCCATTTGCCTGGAAAAAAACAATTTACTTAATTCTTTAAAGATATTTTTACTTGATTGGCTTCCAGCATTACTAGCTTCTATTGTTACTATTGAAAAGTCAGTAAAAATTTTAACGACTGTTCGTTCCTTTGAGGGGTATTTTTATTTTGACTATTTAAAATTTTTTCCTCCTTGTCTTTAATATTTTTTTGGTAGCTTTAAGATGATGGTTCTAGGCATGGATTTCTTCTTTTTTATTCTGCCTGAAATTTGTAGTAGGCTTTCATGAATTTTGTGAGTTCCTAAGTGTACTTAGTCATATTCTATAAAATTGTTAGAGAATGTTAGAGCCTCTTTTCATTCCTCTGTTTTCCATGCTACCTTCTAAACATTCTAACTCTTGGCTTTTTGATGCTTTATTCCAAACCTATGTTTCCACTTACAACTACTATCTCTAGGTATGTGTAATCTGTTGTCAGACTCACCTCCTGAGTTATTTAATTTATTGCACTTACTTGATGTCTAGAAAGTGTTTGATTCTTTTTCATATGTGCTGTGTCATTTTGTTATTTTATAAATAATATAAACTTTTAAAAAATGCTTTTTATTTTCTTGAGTGCATGACTATTTTATTTATATTTTATTAGTAAATGTGTTTGAAGTAAGTATACAATGATTGCATTTATGTCATGTACATAATAAAAATCATTTTCCATCTTCTATACTTTCCATCCCTCCCTGGTTCTTCCAATTCTTGTACCCTTCTCATTTGCAAAAGCTGTATTTCCATTTTTTCTTCAATTATTTTTTTCATCTCCTTTTTTCCCTTCACTCCATCCTAGTTATTTTAAACTCTATGTCTGATAAACTCAAACTTTTCTGAATTTTTAGGAGCTATATTTATTGTCTCTTGTCTTTTCTTTTTGTGTGAACAGATACTTTTGCTTGTGTGATGGACATTGTGCTTGAAATTTTGTGGAAACAGTTTGAGGCCTGGAATGGTGGTGCAGTATCTAAAGTTTTGGCTGGCTTGTGTTGCAGACACAGGGAAATTAAAATCTGGGAGCAATGTAGTCCATTTTCAGGGCTTCAGTGTTCATTTTGTAGCCAAGTTGCCTCAGAGCTGATTTGTAGTGTTTTCAAATACTAGTATATTTCTGTTTTGCACAAAATACACAGGGTTTCCCAGAGCATCCACCCACAAGGAACTCTGGACTTAAACTTTGGCACTGAAAGTTGCAAAAATTATGCTCAGGCTCAGAAACTTCTTTTATTTTGACAAGCATTTTTAGAAGAAGTGATCTCAAATGCAGGACTTATTTCTGTAAACTTTCATTTTATCTTAGATCTTTTTCTCACTGTTTTGTTAACTCTCTGATACTGTCAAGATTTGATTTTAAAAATATGCACTTTCTTTAGCTTTTTTAGTCTCAATGGAAGACTGAGTCCAAATTGCCTATAGGTTTCTCATGTTTTTTTCAAAGCTTTTGTCACACTCAAGTGAAGTGAACCTTGAGAGAAGTTGGCCGCTTACTAATATTTAAGCGGCCTCATAGCTGTTCTATGTTTATTTACAAGTGTTTCGTAAAGTTATTAGCTTTATGTACTATAAGTTCTTAAGTGCCATCTGTTGACCAAATTGTTTTTATGACATTGGTGTCTAGATAATAGATGTTGACAGAGGATAATCACAATTTGTGGTCTCTTGGGCACAGAATGTGTATTCATTAGGTTTTACATGTAACCTAGCATGACAGTCTCACTTGAATTTTGAAATAATGAATGGTTACTGAGTGTTTGTCATATGTTAAATCCCCCTATGTATCCCCTTTATATCTTCATGTTTTTTCCCTTCCTCTCTATTTCTTTCCCTTCCATTCTTCTTGCTTGCCTTCCTTCTTCCTTTATTCATTCCATCCTCCTTTCCTTTGCTTTCCTTCTTTATTTTTTTCTCTGTTCTCTGTCTTTGAAATAATTCACAATGACAGAGTTTATGTTTCTTTGAATAAACATAATATAAAGATATTGGTGATTAAAGTTACCAATTACTAAATAACCTTAATTTCTATTACCAACAAACATGTTTTGTCCTGATGTTTTTATTTACCATCATGTCATGAATATATCTTGTTAAATATTTTATTAAATCTTGATTTTAGTTGCCATAGAGCAGCACTCCCAAACAGAAACTTCTGTAAGAATGACAATGTTTTGTACCTGTGCTCTTCAATATGGTAGCCCCTAGCCTACTGAACACTTGAAATGTAGCTGCTCCAACTAATAAAATGAATTTGTAATTTAATTTAAATTTGAATTGCTAATGGAAGAATATAGCTGTGGGATATTTACTCATCCCATTCATGGTAGACTTTTAAGTTATTCTTATATTTTGCTCTTGCACACAGCATCGAGATGACTATTTCTCTATAGAAATCTTTTACAAAATGCCCAGTTGTTTTCTTAAGTTAGATTCTTATAAATGGGACCACTGGGGCACAGAATATCAACTTCATTTATGAGTTTTGATTAAATACAAAAAATGTTTTTCAGAAAGACTGGACCAATTTATAACATTGAAACCTGTTACCATTTTGCATGGATTAAAGGTTTCGAAGTGTTAACCAGACTCAAAGATATGTACAGAAGTATAGACATGTATTTAACGAGTTTTAAATTAAGGGAAAATTTTGAGCCTGCAAGCAAAAAAATGAAAGTAATTCCAAAGAGAAAAACCAGCACTTTTAGCAATATAAAATTGAAAATCCTGTTCTAAATTTAAAAAATAAAAGACTAGAAAATTGTATGAAACAATGAGATGGTTTATCATTACTATACAAGGAGCTATTCCAGATCAATAAGTTAAGGATCCTACATTAAGAAATGAACAAAAATATGAAACAATCCAAAATGAAGAAGTAAGATGACTCAGTAAACTTACATAAAAAAGCCAAGTGTAATACTAATCAAAGAAATACAAATGGAAAAACTTTTTATTTTTATAGTTTCAAATTCTAAACCATGTAAATTACTTACAAGAACACTTGCAATAATACTCATTAGAGAACTCAATATAACATTTGCATCTTTTCCTTAATGAATTATTAATAAAGGCTAATGTGCTTAATGAAATCCACTGTATCTTCACAAGAAGGCCATTAGCCCAGAGGCTTCAGCATCTCATAGGACTCACCCCTTTGGTTATCTGAGTCACTTTAGGTTCCAACCCCAAAACTAGTCCATTCCAATGCATGAGAATCTTTTTCTGTTTCTGATCAGACAGTGATCACGAATATTCTTACCATGTAACCCCCAGAAACAACAGTCTTGCTTCAAACTGTAGAGAAAAGCAATGAGATGAATCAGGGTCTCCTAAACCTACCTAATAATATGAGCACTTCTTAACATAGCACGAGCATTTCCAGCGTGCTATTCGTTATG